GTTTAGGGTTCAGGGGTTTAAACCCTAAACCCTAAACCCTAGAGTTTAAACCCTAAACCCTAAACCCTAGAGCAGTAGGACCCTAAACCTTAAACCTGCGTTTCTCTCCTGCGCCAGACTCTGTGGATGCGTGGAGGTTAACGGTTCAAGCCTCGGGGCTTGCAGCTGCTTTCGTGTTCAGGGCTTGGTGTTTAAACCCCTAAACCCTAAACCGTTCAGGGCTTAGGGTTTAGCTTTCGGAGTTCCAGGTCCAAGTGCTGACTAGAAAGAACCCTAAACTCCAGAATCAAAACACTCTAAAGCCCTAAACCCTCAAACCCTAAAGCCATGAACCCTAAAGCCCTAAACCCAACACATCAACACTTTTTGCCGCACGAAAGAAAGTTAGGAAGCTAAACACCCCAGCCCCATCCCTTCTCGAGTAATCTGTAAGGGTTTAGGGTTTAGGGTTTACTGCAAGGGGGCTGCTTTGGGTACTATAAGGGTTAGGGAGAAGGGTTGCTATAAAGGGGTACGATATGACTTAGGCGTGCGTGTTGGGGTTCACATACTTGCTGCAGACATGGCGCCATCGATTCAATGGTCTATGTGTTCTTCGGCCCAAGATACGAAGATGAACGGCAGCTACACAGCTGGGCTGGCGGAAGGACAAACTGACGGCCACAACTCTAACACTGCCATGTGGTCCCACATCTACATCTGCTTTGCCTTGTCACTACACAGAGGGTGAACGCAGGAACATCTGTCTTTGGTTTACAGCAAAGGCAAACCTTCAGCCGCGCTTGAGGTTACAGCGCAGCTTTCGCCAAGCCCTTGGGCCCAAAGTTGCGAAAGCGCGGCAGTATCTGTCTGACCGGGTATATTAGGGCTTACAGTGGGGGTGCAAGGGTTGTGGGAGGGCGTGGATTTTGGTGGGGACACTTAGGCTTTTCTCGAAGCGTCAGGGCATGTGGTAAGGCATGAACTTCTCGTCGTGATCTTCGTGGCGGTGCAAACACTTGGGACGGAATTTGTCCACGACCTTCTTGTCGCCATTGCTGAACTCCAAACACGAGACCATAAACTCACGTCGTTGAAAATTGAAGGAGCTGTGAGAGAAAAGGAGCTAAACATGCAACAGGAGCTCAGCAAGTTGGCGAAATTTAACTGCTGTTGGCGGCTTCTCTACCCAGTGTGACATACTGATGAGCCTCCATGTGGCCAATACAGTTTACAGTCGCGACTGCTGCGACTACTGGCTATCATTGCCGTTTCTCTCTCGCTGACGCTGATTGCTACAGTTGGCGCCATAACTGTCACTT